CATGCCGAGGACAGCTGGTGGGACACCCTGCTCCAGGACCCTGCAGGACCCCCTCCCGAGGTTCTTCTTGCTGCCCCTCTGGCTGGGCAGACGCCACGGCTCTGGACCCTCAGGACTCTGGGATTCCCTGTTCAATGAGCTGCAGTCCGCCCAAGGCCACCCTGGGACATGGGCAGGAAGGTGTGGAGGGGAGGAGCCCCAGGTCCCCAAGGGCACCTCACCCTCCTCCCTCTGCCCCGGCTCTGCCCTGCTTCTCCCTGGCTACTCCGCCATGACTCAGCCCTTGCTGTTTCCTGGAGCTGGTCAAAGGCACCTGGGCAGGTGAGGCACATCTTGGAGCCAAGCCAGGAGAAACAGGTGCGTCCCCTGGGCCAAGGGCCTGGCCCTGGGGGAAGGGGAGCAATCGACCATCCCCTATGGAAGTGCAGCATGCCACAGCCCCGTGGCCCAGCTGCAGAGACCTTTGGCTTCCCAGTGAGGCTGCATAGTCAAGGGCCGGACGCTGGGTCTGCTGGACCTGTGCTGGTCAGGTGGGCAGCTGTGGGTGGGAAGGAGGGCCCAGGGCAAGATGACTCCCTTGGAGTGGGGCTCCAGACCCTACAGCAGGGGTCTTGGCTGGTGGGGTGCCTTTTGTGACTGTCCTCCACTCTGCAATAAGGTCCAGGCCACGTGCCCCACCCCTACTGTGCCCTGTCACAGGGCCTCTGTCATTCTGCTCACCCCTGTTCTCTGCCAGAATGGAAGCCCCACTGGAGGGCTGAACTGCTTCTGGGACTGAAGGGCTCCTCAGCCATGCACACACCCAAGCCTTCAAGAATCCAGCGCAGGGAGAGTACACACCTCCTCTTCCAGCCCCAGCCCCTTCCCCATGAAGGCGGAGCCCACCTACCCAGGTGCCTCCTTCCTGCCCTGTTCCCAGTAAACACCTGTTTCTTTTGTTTTTTCCTTTTTTTTTTTTTTTTTTTTGGTACCAGGGATTGAACTCGGGACCTTGCGCTTGCAAGGCAGGCGCCGGAACCACTGAGCTAAATCCCCCGCCCTGGTTCACACCTGTTCACACCTGTTCACCTGTTCCACAGTCCCTCTCTGCTCACCCACCCCTGCACCTCCCTTGGGCTCCCCATTGGGCCTCCCTCCCCTCTCCCACCCCTGCAACACCCCCAGGGCAAGCTGGGCTCCTTCCCGTGCATCTCATCTGGTCTCCTGGCTGCAAACGCTGTATTTTTGGAACTAGATAGAGATGGTGGTTGTACAGCACTGCAAATGTTCTAAATGCCACTGGATTTTCACTTTTAAATGGTTAATTTTATCCTGTATGAGTTGTCTCAAGTTTTAGAAAAGGAGAAGAATACATAAACGCTGACCCACGGGTCTGGCCTACCTCTCCCCACAGGGCTTGTGTGCTGGGCTGTCTCCCTGCTGCCCCGGCCTTGCCTCTTGCCTTGGTGGTGGTCACACATCCACTTCTCTAGCACCCTGGGCTCCAGGCCTCAGCCCCATGCCCAGTCCTGAACCTTACCGTGGGGCCCACTCCACTGCACATGTGGCTCCTGCTGACCCAGAGCCAGGCCCTACGGTGTCCCCAGGCCCTGCACAGCCCCTCGTCCCCATAATTGCCCTGTGCACTCCCTCCGTAGGCGCCTCTCCGCATCTTGCCTCTCTCTCCAGACTCCCTCCACCTCTGCCCTCTGAACTCCCAAGCCTCTAACACTCCCAGATTCCCCCAGGGGCCCTGTAGAAGGCATTGGGCTTAACTCAGGACCCTGGCTGAGGCTCACTGCTCCTCAGCTCATTCCCGCTCCTGGTCCCTCAGTCTCCCAGGGCTCCCCAGCCACTGACCTGCCTCCTTCAGGAAGAAACAGCATGGCTGAGCCTCCTGCCCTCAGGCCCCCAGGGTTCCCTGAGGGCTGAGGATGCTGCTTGCTTTCTAGCAGAACCCCAGAATGCCTGCCCTGGAGTGCCCCAGCTCCCACAGGCCAGAAGTCTTCTCTTTTCCTGCCCCACCTCCACACAGGGATCCACCGCTCCCAAGAGCATGGGTTCCCCAGGGGCTCTGGCCACCTGCTCCTGTCTTGGTGAGGCTCCTGTTGATTGCGCCCAGGGCCAGCATCCACCTCCCTCCTCTTATTCCCACCTCTCAGCAGCCCCTCCCCACACATGTGGAGCCTCCCCTGAAGCAGGCGAAATTCCTGAAGCCTTCATCCAGGTGCCTCTAACAGCAACCTGTCACCTCTACCCCACATAAGCTCATGTTCCGGGCCTGCAGCATTGCCAAGGTCCCTCTCACTCCATCCCAAGGACTGGCTCCAGGGTCCCTCTCTCCCACTCCTCACATCCCACCCAGATCTAGGGGGCCTGAGGTCCAGCATGAGTAGCAGCTCCTGACCACCACGTCTAATCTCGCTGAGAGCAGAGGATTCCAGTCTGAACTGGACCTGCAGGCTGGGAAGGCTAGGGCTCCTGGGAGTTGGTTCCTCCGGGTGCTCCAGGTACCAGCATTAAAGAACCTCAGGATTCCTGCCCACACCCCGCCACACCCCCCAAGAGCGAAGACACCCAAGTCTCCATAGCATCCGATCACCTGTGGCTCACAGGGCACACCTGTCTTCTCCACTTGGTGGGCAGCTCAGTGGACACAGAGGCTTCCTCCTTCCTGCAACCCCTGCCAGGAGAGAGACCCTCCCCAGGGTCCCCTTTAAAGAAAGGGGGGCCCAAGCACACGTACCCTAGTCTGCCTGGGATGGGAAAAGCACCTCTGGGAGCTGGTGGCTGGGCCCCAAAAGTGGAAGGTGACAGGTAGAGGGCTTGGGAGGAGTCTCTACGGAGTGGGGTCTTGGTAAAGCTGTGACAGGTGTCTTTCCAAGTGTACCCCAGGGCCCTGGCTTGGTGGTTAGAAGCGGCCTAAGCCTGCCCTGAGGTCCTGCCACCTAGAGAAGATGTTGGAGGACCCCCTCGGGACATCTTGCTCCCCTAGGCCAGGTCTATGTGGTCAGGTCTATGTGACCGTGTTGATGACCAACAGAATACACTGGCCTTCCCCAGTACCCCAATGCCAGAGCGGCCCTCATGACCCATCTGGGCCACAGCAGACAGGCAGGACCCTGCTGCACCCTACGGCAGCACAGGACACAGCCAAAGTAGTCCAGCTCCCACCAAGAGCAACATGTGTGATCATGTCACAGGGTCACCAGGAAGAGGCAGGCTGTGCCCACAGCCTGGGGCAAGGAGAGGCCAGGAGCCAGAAGGTTGCCACCGGTAGTATGGGTGGGCCAAGGCTGGGCACCAGGAGCCTGGGTCTGCCTTGGGGCACCACTTCCCCTAGAGAAGCCTGTGTTTTCATGGCCTCAGTTTCCCTGGCTGTAAGTGGAAGTAACCCCCAGACCCTGCTGCTGCCCTGGGCAGGCCAGTCAGATGACGAAAGCTGCTGGTGTCATGGACCAACTCTGAAAACCAGCAGCTTGGCCTAGTGTCAGGAAGTGCTGGGCACAGAGTGGCCCTGCAAGGGCTTCAGTACGGAGAGGCTGCTACAGGCAATGACCAGGACCAAGGGGCCAGTGGGACACAGAGTGGGTGGACGGGGCACGGGGCAAGGGGCCTGCGGGCTTGACAGGCAAGGAAGCTCTCTCCTCCTCCCACCAGGTTGCAAGGCCTGGGGTGTCTGCCAAGTGGGTCTGTGTGGGGAGAAGCTGCTCCCAGGCAGTGTGGCCAGGACAGAACGAGGCCAGCCTGCTCCCTGGGCAGAACCCCCCAGGCCAGGCTGACAGCTGATCAGCTGTCTGCCCTTCCTCCTCCCACACTCCTAAACAGAAATTCAGATCCAGGGGAGGAGTGGGGAGTCTGGGCTGAGACTGAGTACCGCCTCCACCACCATCAGCAGGGCCCCTCAGCAGGCCAGGGAAAAGGTCACCTCAGCCCACCTGGCTTCCCAGGAAACCCGGTCGTTGTGTCCCCGAGGGCCACGCTGCAGTTGACCAGCAGACCCCTAGAACCCTGGGCTGTCAGAGACCCCTCCCAGCCCAGAGCAAGGGGAAGCAGCTCAAGCTGGGGATGGGGTCCTGTCTCCAGGGTATCTGGAGGATGTGATCACCAGGCAGCATCTCAGAGGCAGCGGAGGGTGCCCAGGGACCCTCTCACCCTGTGGTGAGAGAGAGGCTGAGGAGGGAAGCCCTGGGTTCTGGTTGCCTAGGGGCCAGCCCCTGAATGGGCCCTGCTCCACTGTGGAGGCAGGAGCAGGTGAATCTTTAGGGGCCACTCCTCACCCCATGGGCAAACACCAGCCTAGGGCAGCCAGCCAGGGGCGTGCAGGGCTGGCCCAGGAACACAGCCATCAGATCTGCTGGACGCCGGAGCCCTGGAAATCCCCCAGGCCAGGGGCGACCAAGGGACAAAGCCTGGGAGGTGCCGGGCTGGACGATGTCAGGCAGGTGCGGAGGATCCCACCTGCTCCTGTGCCCCATCTCCGCTGCTGGTGGTTGGCACTGGGGACCCTTCCATACCCTCCCCCCAGGTGGGCAGGGTTTCCTCTCCCTGCCCCGAGGCCGAAAGAGGGCGCCATGACGTCACCTCCAGGTAGCGGAGAGCCCGGGGGACCCCGGCCCGGGGGAGATCCTCAGCAGCCGCTCGTTTCTTCCCTGCAGCCAGCCGCCCTGGCGATTTCCTCTTTCTTTGAGGAGCCCAGGGTTTCGCAAGGCGGCGGCGCGCGGGTGACAGCGACACACGCCGCAGGGCGGGGGAGGGGAGGCGCCCTGGTCCACGTCCTCGGGCAGGTGAGCTCCGGCCGCGCCCTACCCGGTGGGCACCTATCCCCAAGAAGCCCCGGGTACCTCCCATCCAAGAGCCGCCCGCACCCGCCCGGACCACACCAGACCCGCGCCCATCCCACGCTCACCGGGCGCATCCGCCCGCCCGGCCGATTAGAGTCGCATCCACCCGAGCCGCAACCGCCGCACCTGCGCGACCCCGGGCCGCGCCCGAATCCCGCGCCCCCGGCCCCTGCCTACCTGGGGCGCCGCAGTCGGCACAGCGTGAGTTCCCCGGCCGCCGCAGCAGCTCCTGCACCGCCCTGCGCCGCTCCTTGGCCATGACCGCGGTGCCGAGCCGGCCCGGGCTCGTGCGCGCTAGCTAGGACCCCGCGCAGCCCGCCCGCCGCCGCCCCTGCGCCATCCCGGCGGTCAGCCGGCGCGCCGGTTCCGCATTCCTGCAGCCGCCGGGCTCCCGCCGCCCGTGTCGCCGCCGCCGCGCGAGCGCTGCGCGGCGGGCCCGGGACACACCGTGCTCTGCTGGTTCGGCCCTTGGGCGGCCCCCAGCGGCGCGGGCGGAGACCGCGGGAGCGACAGGAGGGTCCGCCCCGTGCAGGAGCTGAGGGGACCCTGAGCGGGGCGGCCCAGCCCTCCCCAGACTGGACCCGTGGACACAAAACTCCAGTGCTGGCGAAGCAAGGTGCATGCGCAGGGGTCACCAGGACCAAGAGGCTCACATGCCAACCCTGCCCCTAGAAGAGCCAGACAGCCAGCGGTGCCATTTTGGTGTGGAGGGGACTCGGGCCATAGGGAGCCCTCCGCCCTTAAACGTTGCCCAGTCCCCACCCACTGCCATCCATAGACAGAACAGGACTGGGCCACAGGAGCTAGACACAGCCCTCCTGATCAGGCAGGCTGAGGGGCCAGGCAGGAAGGTGATGTAGGGGGTCAGGAGACAGACCTTCTCCAGAATGGGGTGTCCCACCTCTGCATGCCCAGCCTCTTTTTTGTGTGTGTGGTGGTACTAGTACTGGGGATTAAGCCCAGGGCCTTTCCACTGAGTTACACCTCTAGTGCTTTTGAGACAGGGTCTCCTAAGTCACTAAGTTGCCCAGGCTGGGCTTGAACTTATGATCCTCGTGCCTCAGCCTCCCAGAGTGCTGGGATCACAGGCCTAAGCCACCATGCCCTGTGACTGTGGAGCTCTTTTAACCCTGCCAATCTGTGGGCTTAACGTGGCAACCCATTTCCCTGTGTATTTCTGAAGTCTGGGGCATCGCGGGCTGCATCCCTTTAGCTCACACATCCTCCTTCATCACCTTCCTACTTGGGGACAACTGACATTTCCAACTCTGGAGCCCGGGCCAGTCTTGGAACCTGTCACACAGAACGAACTTGAAGAACGCAGATGAAGACAGACTCATGTTGACAACTCTGCACTAGGCATTGGGGAAAATACCAGATGTGTGTTTTCTTACTTAACCTGTTTTATAGACAGGAAAATTGAACAGAGCGTTTCAGTCCCTTGGCCAAAGCTCACAGTACATACACTCACACAGGCAGGACTGGGCTAAACATAAAACGACAGGTCAAAGAGACACTTACCCTGCAGAACAGCTATCCAAGGTCCCCAAGGACAGAGATCATTCTGTGCAGGGTCAGAAAAGGCCACAGCGAGGGCTGGAGGGTGAGTGTGTCCAGCAGGCCGGGGCCCAGCCGGAGGGATGCCATCCCACACGGGGCAGCTTCAGGGGTTGCTTGCCTTCTCTGTCATTCTACTGACAGAGGAGGTGGGGATGTCCCTCGGGGAGGTGGAAGGGAGGACTGGAGGCAAAGGTATGTGAGCCTACAGATCAGCACTGTGGGATGAAAAACATCTTCAAAAAGGATGGCCACCATGACCAAGACCTGTAGAGGCCTCTGCTCTCCCAGGGCGGCCGTAGCACAGCCCCTCTGGGTTCCCGGCGGGTCCATACTGCTGTGGCCAGATAATCCCGCAGCTTGGGAATGCTTGCCCCATGGTGGGCAGCTCAGGGTCACAGGGGCCAGTGGAGGCCTGCTTCTGCCTAAGGCCCGCCTGAGGGAGCTCTGCTGGCCCCTGAGCTTCCTGCTCCCCTGCCCACCAGCCCAGTCTGCCCTGAAGGCCCCAGTTCCCTTCCTCAGGCACTTCTCGACCTGGGAAAGGCCAGGACAAGACCAGGCGTTGGCCTCCCAGTGACAAAATGGCCCTGCTAAGCAGACCGGGGCGGGGCTCCCCACAGCAGGGCTTGTGTCCTACAGTGTTCCCTGAGTGTAGGAGCTGCACATACCAGGTCTCCAGATATCTTTGATCAGAAGCCAGGACCGCTTGGAGAAGACGGGCCCTGGCTCAGAACTTCCTAAGGACCAGTGACGGGGCTCTCTGCCTGCCCCTCCCGCTGACATGCTCTGCTCAGTGGTACCACCTCCTCGAAGCGCCCTGCCTGCCCCAGGGAGGTCCAGAGTGCTCATGACTAGTAGCCTCTGGGAGCAGGAGAGAAATCATCCCTTGCAGTATCCTCACAAGTTGCCATTGGGCTAACTGACCCCTAAGCCCTCAGATGGGAAATGACAGGAGTCACCGCGAGACCCCTTGGGCCCGTGCCTCAGTTCCAAATGCTCTTTTGGATGCAAGCAGCCTTGTGGCATGCTAATGACACTTGACTTACCCTTAGCAGCTCAGATGTTTCAGGAAGTGGGGGGCTCAGCCTAGGACCCTACCCTCACCTCAGCTGTGTACAGTTGGGTGTGAGAAGGCCTGAAAGCTGGCAGGACACAGCCTGGTCATCAAAAGGGCCCCAGCCAGGCAGGAGGATGTCAGGGCTGAACCCCAGCTCCACTCAGAATGGAGAAACTGAGGTACTGAAGAGGGGCAGGTGCAGTGGATGTTCCTCTGCTGGGTGTCTGGCCATGTCCACCTTCCCTTCAGGAAGCAGGGGTTTTTCCTGGGACAGGGGAGCCACACCGGGTATGGGAGGCAGAGAGAAAAGGGCAGCTAGGGAGCCTAGCGTGGGGGGTGGACTGTATATCCCAAGGGCAGAGAGGACCCCAGCACTGCAGGAGCAATGCCAAGTGGGCCTCTGCTGCAGCGGTTCATATTGTGGCTTGAATGATGTCCCCCGGAAGATGCTGAGTCCTGACCCAGGTAATTACGGATTGGCCTTACTTGGAAAAAGGGTCTTTCTGAATATCACAAGATGATGTGACACTAGATTAGGGTGATTCCCCAATTTGATGTGACTGTTGTCCTCATAAAAAGGGGAAGTGGGCAGAGATGGAAGAGCACCATGTAAGATAAAGACAGGGATCCGGATCTGCTGATGCCTCTACAAGCCAAGGCCCACCAGGCAAAGGGAGGAGGACCTGGAACAGACTCCACACGGCCCAGCCCAAGGTGCCCCTTGCAGATGCCTCCACTCTGTCCTGTAGTCCCGAGCAGAGACACTTCTGCACTGCCGCTGCCTAAGGCACAGGATGTAGCCCTGAGCAGGGCCACAGAAAGAACTAGGAACTCGCAGCTTTGCGGCTAGGCAGTGGGGCCTACACATCGCCACCCCCTAGTCGCCAGCTTGTTAAGGCCATCCACCACCTTCTCTTCCTCCCCTGTAGACCCTGGTCTGGGGTTTCTGCTGGGGGGAGGGGGCCCAGGCTGTCTGGATCACTCTAATCTGGGGAGAGATGAAGACAGTGGGGGTCCAACCACCCTAAGAGCCCCAAGTCTGGTCTGTTTCTTTTCCCATGAGGCTCTCCGGATGTGCCCCTTGAGGAGCTGGTAAGCTGTGTGACGGCACCCTGGGCCACACTTCCCTCCCGCTGTTCCCAGCCCTCGGTGCAGCCCATCCACACCCATCCCTCCCTTCACTCCTCCCTTCTCCCTGCCACCACCCTCCTTCCTACTGTTGATTCCACTGGCCAGCACATGCCCACCCAGCCCTTGCTGGGGGCCTGACAGGGCTGTCCTTGACCTCCAGAGGCAGCTTATGTCACCCCCTCAGGAAGGAGAGGGCGTGGGGTGGGGGGACAGATCTGCAGACTTCCTGGGGGATGCACCTGAGCAGGACTCGGCACTGAGCAGGCCTGTTGGTGGAAGCCTGGGGGTCGGAGAGGGTTGTGCGGCTGGACCCTGAGGGCCCTGGTGGCTGGGAGCAGAGTAGGAAGGCCCTGGGGGCACCTGTAGGCTGGGGATGTACTCCATGCAGAGCAGATACTGCCCCTCAGACTCAGGGCCTTGTGGCACCTTGAAGGTGGGGGTGAGGTCCAGGGTTACCCCAGGGTTTCTGCTCCAGGTAAGGGGGAGATGGGGCCACCAAAACATGCAGACAATCCAGGGAATGGTCCTCTTGGAGCCACAGGGAAACACAGAGGGCTGAGAGAGAGCCCTGGAGACAGCCAGAGAAGGGTGGACCACAGGAGAAGGCCAAACAGGACAGAAGGGGACGATGTCCCTATGGCTTAGTGGGGGGGGCATGTATCCCTGGAGGTGAGCCCCCAACACCAACTGTGTCATGGGAGACAGCTCCCTGCCACTGACATGATTGAATGAGCCCTAACCTCACACCAGGTGGCCAGAGAACTGGCCCTGACTCCAAGAACCAGATTCCCCTGCACTCCCCTCTCCCCAGAGTGGGTTACACAGAGCAGAGCTGGGACCAGGCCCAAGGGCCCTCAGCCATGCTGGCCTCCCTGCTTCTTCTAGAGACCTCTCCTGGCCGGGTGAGCAGCTGTGGCTATGGCCCTGTCTCTCTAATGGACCCATTCCAAGCCAGGCCTCAGAGAAAGAACCCCTGCAGGTCTCCCCCAAGGGAAGATGCGGGGGATCAGCCAGCCCTCTCCTAGTACCAGTGTCCTAAGGGGCATAGTCACCCTTGGAAGAATAGAGGCTGGACCCCAGCTGCCTGTAAGAGTAGACAAAGGCCACAGGAATAAAGGCAGAGTTGGAGGGCAAGCAACAGCTTCCTGGGGCAGCAGGGACAGCTCTGGATGAAGCCAGGGCCCACCCTCCCCTTTCTGCAGCAGTCAGTGAGCCTCCACTCCACCCACACCAAAATGGGATGTTTTTTTCTCACCAAGAGAAACAGAAAAATCAAAAGAAAAGACAATCCGCAACACAGGAGTGTTTCCAAGGAGCTTTGGTTGAGAGGCTTAAAGGAGACAGGCAAAAACACGTGGCAGATTCCTGAGAAGAGCAAGGGAGCGGATCCCTCTGCAGCCGGAGGCCAGGACACCCGCAGTGCAGAGGGGAGTAGGAGTGGGCCAAACCTCCCTGGGCCAGGACAGCTCAGGCCCCCTTCTCAGGGGTGGTACAGATCCTGAGACCCCTCAGAAGGGAGAGTCCCCTAGAGATTTCCCAGAGAAG